GGGTTTCACCTAAAAAACCCCTGTTTTTTATTTTAGTTGAAGTTGGATGCTCAACCGACTGAGCTACCCATGCGCCCTTTTTTTTTTTTTTTTTTTTTTTTTTAACCTGAGAACTTTGGTGATGATATTGAGTCTCCAAGGTTGGCTCCAAACAGCAATAGACGATGATTATATAATATTTGTCATGTATATGGAACCAGTAATTTCTCATTGTGCAGTCTTGGACAAGTAACCTAACTTTCTCTTTAATTTACCTCATGCAGAAAGGATATAACCTCTCTTATCGTGAGGATACAAGTAAGGCATATAAAGAGTCCATCAAAATCCTTGGCAGGCAAGAGCTGCTCGGTAGAGCACAGTAGGCACTTCAGAATGAAAGAGATGCACATATGGGCTCTGGAGCCAGGCTGCTTGGGTTTGAATCTTGGTTCTATTCTTTCTTTCTTTTTTTTTTTTTTTAACAGTGTGCCCTTGGGCAAGTAACTTTACCTTTATGGGTCTCAGTTTCCTTAGCAGTAAAGTAGGGGCAATAGCACTACCTACATCATAGGATTCTTTTTTTTTTTAATTTAAAAAATGTTTATTTATTTTCGAGAGAGAGAGAGAGAGAGAGAGAGAGAGAGAGGGAGGGAGAGAGAGAGAACATGTGCGTGCATGTAAGTGGGAAGGAGCAGAGAGAGAGGGAGACACAGAATCTGAAGCAGGCTCCAGGCTCCAAGGTGTCAGCGTAGAGTCTGATGTAGGGCTCAAATCCACGAGCCTCAAGATCATGACCTGAGCCAAAGTCGGATGCTCAACCAACTGAGCCACCCAGGTGCCCTTATATCATAGGACTCTTAAGCAGATAAAAGGAGTTAATACATGTAAAGTTCTTTGGAACATTTATTAATATATAGGGCTTAATAAAAGCTAATTATTATTTTAATTGCTATTTCTTTTAGCTTTTAGAGACACCTGTGTCTTTTTCAAGTTGTAAATTAAAATTGGAGAGAGACATCTTCTCATATGTATAAAATACATCCATTCAGTGCTGTTAACACCAGCTGTTTTCAGCCGATTTCTATTGCTGTGGTTCTGTAACCAGCTCTCCTTTGATAAGTCCTCAGAACCCTCAGTAGGAATTACTTTGCTTATGTTAAGTTTGGCTGCTCTGCCTTAAGACAGTCATTTTTAGTACTTGACCTCCCTCTCTAAGTATTTATGAATTCCCTAAAGAACATGGAGAAGAAGAATTATTTGGAGCCAATTGGGAAGGCATTGTGAAATCAGAACTCCCCTTCGTAACCCTACTGTCACTTATTCTCCAAAATAATTGTCGGATGCTGTGGTTTTGTGCAGAGGAAGCTCTGGGCACTCACTTTCAGTCAGATGCAGTCTTTTCTTCAGTGGTGATTTTGCTTTTCCTCCTTAACATACAGCGCCACTGTGCTACCTATAGGCCATATAAAAGGGGTATAGAGAAGGGTCTCCATTCCCAAAGAGTATGAACAAAGAGCTAGACAAGGAATACAAGTAAATAATTTACTACAACAAGAATCCAACTGTGCTAACCACTATTAAGGTGACACAGAGGGAAGGGGATTCTGACTAAGAGCTTAGGGAGAGGTTTAAAAAGAGGCGACATGACTATTGAACCTTGAAGAATGGCAGAGGAGGAAAGGAAACACAATAGAAGCAGAGAGAACAGGGTGAGCAAAAGCTTGTGAAAATACACAGCTTGTTTGGGGAACAGCAGATGGCCCTGTGTTGTTGGAGCAGAAGGTATGTATGTGGAGGGTCAGGAGATGAGGAACAGAGGTCCCTGGGTCCTCAGGGAGCCCATGCACCTCGCTCTTCTCAGGTTCTGGGGAGGGCAATGGTAGGGCTTCTTTGACGGCTCCCTCAGGATCAGGTCTTAGATGTAGCTCCCCATTTCCTCCTTCTCCCTGCAGACTTCTCTTGGCATCAGCACATCATCCTTTTAACCTCTGCACTTAACAAAACATATTCTCTTCTGTTTTCCAACAGGCTTAGCTGTTCTGGCATTTACTAACCTGCCACCTACTGCAAAATAAATGGAGAATGAAATAGTCTAAGACTTTGTACAAAACCTTGGCCCCTCAGGGTAAAAATCTAAGCCTAAACAAGTGGGAACAGGCCCGGTTGCCTGGCCAGTTTCTGGGGGACTGGAAAGAGATGACAGTGAAGGAAGAAAACCATGTTTGGCACATAGTTGGTGCTCAATCAATATTTGTTTGGTAAAGGAATTAAGGGATGGCTTGAGGGACTCTCAGGTATTGCAAGGCCTCTCAGGTATTGTGGGGTATCTAGGTATGGCCACCTGCTTCTGCCTTGGGAAAGAGGAAGGAAAGGGAGAAGATATCTATGTATTCTGGCTCTCCAGGCATTTGTGCTGAGGCCAGTTTTCTTCTTGAGTTAGGAGTTCCATGATTGGTAATTTTCTCTTTTAGGAGAGAAAGAAGGGTGTGTGTGTGTGTGTGTGTGTGTGTGTGTGTGTGTGTGACCCAATACGTATTTCCTTACACTCATGCCTGAGTACCACGGGTTACAAACCATTCCTTTGCCATGATACCAAGAAAAATAAAAAGTTAAAAATGTCAAGAGAGAGCTCTGTCCAGTACTTAGGATCCACTTACATGGTCCTCACAGCCGCTTGTCAGACCCTAACCGCCAAAATGGTGAAGCAGATTGAGAGCAAGTATGCTTTTCAGGAAGCCTTGAACAGTGCAGGGGAAAAACTTGTAGTAGTTGACTTTTCAGCCATGTGGTGTGGGCCTTGCAAAACGATTAAGCCTTTCTTTCATTCCTTCTCTGACAAGTATTCCAACATGGCGTTCCTTGAAGCAGATGTGGATGACTGTTGGGATGTTGCTTCAGAGCGTGAAGTCAAATGCATGCCAACCTTCCAGTTTTTTAAAAAAGGACAAAAGGTGGGTGAACTTTCTGGAGCTAGTAAGGAAAAACTTGAAGCTACCATTAATGAATTAATCTAATTATGTTTTCTGAAAACATAACCAGCCATTGGCTGTTGAAAACTTGTAAATTTTTTTATTTACCAAAAGGAAAGATCAAGTATGAAGACTGTATACCCAATTGCCATCTGATTATATAAGTGGCAATAAAATATTGTCTACCCTTAAAAAAAAAAAAGTCAAGAGAGTTCAGTTTTACTTAGCAAATATATGTGCTCAGCACTTAGGATACAAAGAAGTCTTGATTCTAATCTCAAAGGGCTTCGAATGTGGGTAGACATAAAGCCAAACAGAGTATTTACTGCAGGGGAGATAGTGTGGTAACAGGTTAGCTCAGGGCCTTGCTACTCCAAGTATGGTTTCAGCAGCAGCAGCAGCAGCAGCAGCAGCAGCAGCAGCAGCAGCATCTTCTGGAAACCTGTGAGGAATGCAGACTCTGGCTCCAACCCAGTCTGACTGAGTGTGCATGTGAGTTTTAATGAGATTGCTAGGCGAATCATATACACGTTAATATTTGAGAAGTACTGGCCTAGGGTGCCGGGATGGGATGTGGGTGTGTTTCTTAGAGGAAGTAAATCCTGAGCTATGTTTTGAGAATGGGTAGGGTTAACTGGGTGGTATCACAAGCAGAGACAAAAGCATAAGTAAAAGTTTAGTGGCATGAAGAAGCATAGGGATGATTTGGGAAGCGGCTTAAAATTGATCCACAAAAGGGAGAGAGTGTAGGAGAGAGGAGGAGGGAGAAATGTAGGAAGATGGCAGGTCAGGCAGTGGCCAGATCCGGACGCACGTGCTCTAGGTTACGTAGCTTTGCCTTGATCTAATCCATGATAGAGACGCATGATGAGATGTTTGGATTAGTGTTTAGAACACCGCAGCCCTGAGAAGCCTGAGAAACCAAGGCCAAAGGGCAGAGAAATTATTTAGGAAGATACAGCAACAGTTTGGGAGAGAGAGAATGAGAGTAGTTAGGTACTGCAGGTAGTGCGGTGGGAATGGAGAGAAGGGAACAAGTTTAAGAAACTTTAAGAGGTAATAAGCAGATGAAAGACTTCATTCAGTATGAACTGGCGTGAGAGAGTGGGAGAGGGCTGTGCCTTGACTAGATGAATCGGGCAGGCTTCCGGCTAGGATTAGTGGGTGGTTGCTCACGACACCACTAACAGAGATGAAAGAATAAAGGAGGATGAGCAGGTTTGAGGAGGGAAATTATGAGTTCAGTTTTCAACATGTTCAGCTCAGGTGACTAGGAAACATGTATAGGATGGGGGAAAAAAAGAAAACAAGGGTGGAGAATGGGTGAATCAATAAGGGTGGAGAAGGAAAGTGATGAAGTAGAAACAATGCCCTGTCCAGGTTTGGGGCTATGGTAATACACATAGTATATCTGTGAGTTTTTCCCCCAGCCCTATTTCCACAAGCTGCCTTCTTGGAACTGGTTCCAGAAACTGGTTGGACCTCAAAGAAGAGCAAATGGTTTTGATTCATGGTTTCCTATCCTGCGATCAACTCGTTGTTGACACTATTTCCTCTACTAACAGAAAAAAAAAAAAAAAAAATCAAACCTGGAGTTCAAGCTCCTCCAGGGTCAGAATGAATAGTTGTCTTTTTCCATATTGACCTGTGGGATGAATAATTTTGCCCACTTCCCCAACACTACTTACAAAGTAGTGATAATACAACGCCAAGGCGTGTGGATATTTGTGCATGGTCATTCTTCAGGTTCTGGAGGACTTCTGCCACAAATCATCCCTGGTTTGAACTTTTACAGCACTTTCATTTTGGACCTTAAAATTCAGAAATTGGTAATAGCTTGTTTTGGATCATTTCCACAATTATTTCCTATTTTGCAATCTGTTCTCTGCTCACAGAGTAAAAATCGTCTGGGACTTCAGCGTCTCCACAGCAAAAAGTCCAAAAACACGTTAACATTTTCGGTAGTCATCCCCAGCCAATAAAAAGCAAAAGGTCGGCACGTGGTTTATTAGTTTGGGCAGGAGGGAGGTATTCCAACTAGATCCTTTCGCTCTTGCCAGGATCAAACATGGCGGGCCGCAGCCAGAATTTCCCGAACACCCAGTTCGCTTTCCCGTGACCCTAGTCAGTCTCCGACGCTCCTCTTTCTACCTTCCTTCCTCCTCAGCCGCTCCCAGAGGGTCAGCACTCGGCAGCGCGACAGCGGGCCTCCTTCCCGCCCCCACTCGAGGGCCCGCCCACCAGCCCGCGCCAGCCAATCGCAGGCCGCGCTGCGGCGGCTGGCAGCGCCGGCCGGCCCCGCCCCTCAGCCTCGCTGTGGCCTGCGGCTCCCGGGCCGGTAGCGCCGCTGTCGGTCGCGAGGACGGGTGGTGTGGAAACGCGGGTCGCGGGCGCTCGCCGCCTGCCACAGCTCAGCCCAGCGTCGCCGAGGCTGTGAGCCCCGAGCCTCCGCCATGGACTTCGAAGACGGTAAGCGGCGCCTCTGGCTGGTCGCCACGGCGGGCGGGAGGCGGGGTGGCCGCCCCGGGGGTCTGTTTACGGTCTCAAGATGGCCGTGTGGGCTTTGTTCTGCGGGCCCGGAGGCCGCCCGCCCGCCGCGGGCCCAGTGCCCGGAATCGGCCTATGTGGGAACCCGCGCGCCTTGTCGCGCCCGCCCGGCGCCCGCCGCCGCCGGGGACCTGGGAGTTCCGTGCCGGCCTCGGTGAGGGGAAGGGCGCGCCCAGAGCGCCACGGCCTCCGGTCTCGGGCCCCGGACTCGCGCTCCGGACTCGCCCCGGCCCCGGTGCATGGAAATTGCCCCGACGCCTCCCAACTCCCCGGTCTCGGGCAGAGGGGCGGGTGGGGCCTCCCCGGCCTCGCGTCGCGTTCGCCTCCCAGGGCGGCGACCTAGCTCGTCCGTGTAGTAGATCCCCAACCAGGTTGCTTCTTAACAGATACAATTTCCAGAGGCTTGTTCACGGTGATGTTTCTCGTCTTAGTTTGAAGACGAGTTTAAAGGGCGTCCGTAAGTGACAAGTATAGGTAGATCTCTGTGCCGAATGGAAACCTAAGCTATTACTGGTTAGCAAACTGGGCTGTTTATCCACCAAAATTACCTGGTCGTTAATCCCTAATTTCAAATAGCTGCGTGAACCTCAGCATTTTTTTCCTCTGGATTGTGTATGGATGGGACTTAAGTTAGAATTCTGGCACGGCATCACATGCCCTTCAAATTCAGCTCCGTGCCCAGCCGCCTGCGTTGGACTTAACGTTTAAGTAAACCGTATTCCAGCAATACCTTCCAGCTGTCTCTCACGCTAGTTCTTGAAACCATTTTCACAGGCTCCCAGAGTAAAATTAATTTGGTTTTCACCTTGTCTTCAAATCTTGCCCAACTTTTATAGGAATTGGTGTCAAGATAAAATGAGTCGGTTAGGGAGACGTGGAAAAGGGTTTCAGTGATTAAAGTGGTCTTAATCCTGAGTAACCAGACGTGTCTAATTAAAACCGGCTCGCTAACCAGTTGTAAGCCCCTCACCCAACCGAAACAATTATATTAAACATTGAACGTACTGTGATCTCAGCGTGAGTCTGACTAAACGATCTTTTGATCTTTGATTTGATTTCATGCCAAAAAGAATTAAAGCTGCCAAATCTAAGTATATGAAAGGGGGCTGAAAGAACCCATGTTTTAAAAAGTTTATTTATTTATTTTGAGAGAGAGAGAGGGAAAATCCCAAGCTGTCGGTGCAGCGCCAGATGTGGGGCTTGATCTCACGAAGCCTGACATCGTGACCTGAGCGGAAATCAAGAGTAGGGCTCTTAGGCAGCTAAGCCACCCAGGCGCCCCTGGGATAACGCTTTGGTGGAGCCTTTTCAATTAGTTTGAAATAGGAAGTCCAGCTGTTAAGAGTAGCACACTCTGGTGTTTTTGTTTGTTTTGGTTGGACTTTGACTCATTTTGATACAGATACCTTAAAACTATGTTTATTTGAAGTAGCGAAGCTGGGAATGAAAGTTAAAAATATATTGCTATGTTTTCATACCAAAGTTTGATGATAGTACCAACACTCAGGGTACAGCAGAAGCTACCCAGGTGGGGGGAGGGAACAATGGGAGTGGTTCCACCCCCCCCCCCAAGGGAATCCATTTTCTGTAGAGAGTTGAAAAACAATAAAACTTAGTTTGCTTACTTTTTATTGTCACCATGTGCCTACAATTCCAGCGTTAGTAATAAAATTATAAACAGTGTCAGTGAGTAAACACTCCTCCTCTCTCTTGCTTCCTTTTCTCCTTTACTGCTATATTTGGGAGTGGAATTTGACTAACAATACATCTGAATCTAATCCTATGCAGTGTAGCTGGATTCTGTTGCATTCAAGGGATCACTGTATCAGCTTTCTTTCTTTTAGTATTTATTAGTAAAATTAATTAAAGGACTTAACAATTGCCAAATCCGTTTTAACGGAAATTGCCAATATGGTTTTTGGTGATGTCACATCCTGGATAGATACAGTGAAGGCAAACATATGTTTGTGTATATGCATTCTCAAATAAGATCTTGAAAACTTTAGAGAGCGAGTGGGTAAAATAAATATATTAACTTTGAAATAGTTACATATTACATGCAATCAATTCTCACATGGCCCTTTTTGCAATTTTTGATACATAATTTAATCTATCTGCCTTCCTTTTGTTTCCCTGTATAAATCAGTAGTGGATTCCCTTTTTTGGCAATTATTGTATATTAGGTGTTAAAGCGAATTTTTACATTTTAGTAATTTGGATGATTTGCCTCTTGGGGAGATAATGAAGAGAGATACATGTTTTTCCATATTAAATGTTTGTAATTATTTACACTCCATTTTTGTAGATAATAGAGTTAATGGCATTTTAAGAAATTCTGTTTGATTTGAATAGATAAGTATGTAATTTCAGATTTTTGCTAATGCACTAATTTCTTTCTGTTAAATGTGTCTTCATAGATTATACACACTCTGCTTGCAGAAATACTTATCAGGGCTTTAATGGTGAGTATCCTCTTTTGTTTTCTCTTAAATAATGTTAAAGGAATGCATTTCAGTTTTTCTGTACATGCACATAAAGTAACAATGTAAAAAGCCAGTTCT